GAGATGCTAGTGGCTAATTGGAGCAATTGAATGATAAGGAACAAGCCATTTGAGAGAAAGTACACATCTATAACAAGAGATTCAACATAATCAATTGAATAAGTTTTGTTCATACCAATTTTTAGAGAGTTATAATGGTTACTTTTGGATGAGCTTTGGATATGTTATAAAGGGGAGAATTTGGAGTAACTATCATGAAGAAACCATAGTGGTTTGAGCTTTTGATATGAGTGTTTTGGACTGAAAACGAGGAAAGGAACCAAGGTTGAAGATTATAAACAAGTTCCACTCTAAACGTTCCCAAGGTGGCTATAGAAGTCCAATCAATCTGAAATTTTGATATGTTATAATAGACAGCATTTCAAACAACTTTGATGAAGGAACCAAAGTCATTTGAGTACAGGAAATCACAGAAACCAACTGAAACCGAGCATACTGCTGTGAAATCAGGAAATGGTAAACTTATTGTGATCATACCAACGTTTCAGAGCCTATACTAGTCGGATTGAGCTGAACTTTGAGTATGTTATAGGAATCATGGAAATGAACAACTTTTATGAAGGAAGTTTTCTCATTTGAGCTTCCGAAATATGAGTTCTCAGCAGCTTCAAGAAAGTGACGAATTTTGGATTTTGAAGAGGAACAAAAGAAAAATGAGACTGAAGATAAGTGAATGAGGAAGAAAGGATGATACAATGAATGATGAGGATAAGAGTGAATTTATGATTGAAAAGCCTTAATTAGAATAGGTGAGTCATCCATTTAGAAGTGGGTGATAATACAATGAATGGGAAGAAGAGGATGAGAAAGAATCTTAGGCTAGACTAGGTGACTCACTCACTATAGGTTTACAACTCATCCCAAAATCAGATTTTTGAAGACAAAGTAAGTGGGAAGGGGGGAAGAATGAAGGAGAGAAGAATTGCTTGGCTTACACGTTGCCTCCTTCTCTTTTTTTCTTTTCTTTGCCTACAAGGGTATTTTGGTAATCTATCACACATAGGGGTGTTTTGGTCATTTTTGTCCAACTTCAAATTAAACATACTTAATTTAATAATCTCAATCCAAAATCTCTTGATAAAATACCCATAATCATTCTCCACCATTATAACATTTTCACTAAAATATGAAAATCCACCTTAAATTTTTCGGGGTATTACACAACCATTACAGATGCTCTAATAATTCCCTCCCTGAAGTAAAATCTCTTCATTTTACACGTTATTCATCTTTACATCCAGCGAAGAAGAAAATGGCAAATGATGAGCTATTGTACGTCCAGAATACATAAAGATTGTCCAAATATTTCTTATAGTTATGCAAAATTTACGTGGTGTAGTAGTTGTACAAGCCCCCTCTCATATCTACACATCATAATTGCTTGAGGCCCAATGCCAGTAATGATTTTTAATAACAATTATGGATATCATTTGTGAGACGAAAGGTATATACATAGGAAGATTCTCAAATAAGTATTTTATGTGAAGAATAAGTTATATATTTCTAATCTTGACTGTTGTATTGCATGTATGTTGCATATTAAATCTACCAACACATCTAATAAATATAATCCAACGGCCGAAATTAGAAATATGTAACAAATACTCAACTTCAATACTTATTGGAGAATCTCTCTATATATACATATACAGAAGAGTTTCAGTTGAAGGATTCCTCAAATAAACTTATTTGAGGGACACCCTTCTAGGGCCCTGTAAGTTGTAACTAATTGAAGATTGCATCAATTGACCAATGTTTGAAAAATCACTACACGGTAAGCGGGCGGTAGGCACGGGCCTAGCGCCTAGAGGAGTAATAGCCTAGGTGTTTTATTTATTTATAATTATTTTGTATTATTAATTATTAATTTATACATAAATAATGCAAAAATAGAAGGACATATAAATGATAAAGTACCATAATTAATATAAAACATGGGAAAAAGTTAGGCATAAAACCTAGGTAACAAAATTTTCTGACCAAAAAAGGAAAACAAAATAAAAAAAATAAACACCCAACCCGCCTAGAGCCTAGTCGCCTGCCTAGCGCCTGAAACTCGAAATTGAAAAAATTTAGTTGCAAATTTGAGGTTGAGATTGAGATTGGGAAGCCGAAGAAGTGAAGCACAAGTCAGGTATGTTCCTTCCTGCAAAACCAGAGAAGAAGAGATCATGAGACTCTTAATTCATCTAATTCCATTCCTCTCCCTGTTTCCCGCCTTATTCTCTTCTCTCTTGGCTCTCTCCCAAATGACATGTTCTATAAGATCCCACATCGACCAACGGAGAGAGGGTTGATGTGCCTTATATGTACATGCCCGCATCCATTTAGCACGAGGCCTTTTGGGAGCTCACTGGCTTCGGAGTCATGGGAACTCTGAAGTTAAGCGAGTTGGGGACTAGAGCAATCCTAGAATGGGTGACCCACTGAGAAGTTGCTCGTGAGCTCCCAAAAACAAAACCGTGAGGGCAGAGAGGGGGCCCCAAATAGGACAATATCGTGCTACGGCGGAGCCGATCCCGGGATGTGACAATTTGGTATAAGAGCCACTCTGCCATGTGGTGCGAGTGTGCCGACGAGGGCATTGGTCCCCTAAGGGGGGTGAATTGTAAGATCCCACATCGACCAACGGAGAGGGGGTTGATGTGCCTTATATGTACATGTCCGCATCCATCTAGCACGAGGCTTTTTGGGAGCTCACTGGCTTCGGAGTCATGGGAACTCCGAAGTTAAGCGAGTTGGGGGCTAGAGCAATCCTAGGATGGGTGACCCACTGGGAAGTTGCTCGTGAGCTCCCAAAAACAAAACCGTGAGGGCAGAGAGGGGGCCCCAAAGCGGACAATATCGTGCTACGACGGAGCCGATCCCGGGATGTGACATGTTCACCTTACCACACCAACAACAACGACGACAATTCCCCCCTCTGCCAACTCCGCCTTATTCTCTTCTCTCTTTGCACTGACGACATGGTGCAAAATAAAAAAACACAAATTTTTTTTGACATGGAGTCTGTCTTCAGTGGAAGGAAATGATGAAGCTATCCTATCATGGAGTTTCTATGGTCTTGCCAATAACAAGGTTCGGTTTTTAGGCCCCAAACTCAAATTCTGACTATTTATTTCTGGTTTGGTTAAGCAATAGATTGATTGTTTTGGTTCTTCTTGAGACTTGATAAATGTTCATGCTTTCAATATTCATCCATTGATGGTTCTTCTCGGTTAGACTGCTTTTCATTCTTTGGATATTGCATTTCTGTTATAGATTTTGACATTTACTCATGCCCTCTGTTTTGCTGAGAGGAAAAAAAAAAAAGTCTCCTCCACCTCAAGTGAGATGTCAGCAATTTCATATAAACTGATTATGTACTATCATCTTCAAATATCAGCATCTATTTCTATCATTTGGAATAATAAAGTGGACATCTTATACCATCTTATGTGGCAGATGAAGTGGACAATCACATCAATTAAAAAGTGTCAACAAGTCATAAAAGAAAAAAAAATGTTAAATTAATTTTAATTTATGTGGATGTCCACCTAATCTGCCACATAAGGTGGTATAGAAGTGTGGTATACAAATGTGATAGATAAGAGTAGCATTATTCAAGAAAATATTACATTTATTGCATAAATGATAGTTTGTTCTTAAGATCAACATCTTATTAATTGGAATGCATATTGGAGTAAAGTAAATGAGCATGTATCAAGAAATTAGAAGAAAAACATATAAGGACAAGAAAAATCCGAACTCATCAGATCAAGCTAAAACAAAGTCTTCTCTTTCTATCTTTTTTTAGGTGGGATGGTTAAACACCCCAAACAACTCAGCTAACATTGTCACATCAAGCGAAGAAATAAGCCATGCAAGGTAGCAAATTTATGTTTAACATATGGGCACATTTTGCAGTTGGAAACAAACCCTGCGATTCAATTATTTGAAATCGTGGACCACTTAGGCAAATCCCACATCAAATGGGTTTGGCTTATTGTGTCCATAATTAATAATATTTTATTGGACTATATAATCCCAAAAGATTTAGTAAATTTACTTGGAATATTTTATAATAACAAAGTGATTAAATTAAGAGCAATGTCAAAACGATCACGTATGGTTGACATATATAATCCTTTAAAGATTGTAGCCAATGGTTTTGGAGTTGCAAGTGTAGAATATCTGCTGTTCCTAATGTATCCCAACAAAACAGATTGAAATGAGGTATTTTCATGGGTGTAAATGGCTTCAAAGATTGGGTAGGCAGATTGAGGTTGCTTGGGAAGGCATTGGAGGAAGCCAGTGAGAACTGGATCTGAAGTTGTCCATGACGCTAAAAGCGAAAGGACTGAGAGAACGAAGAGTACTCGTACCTTTTTTTTTTTTTTTCTAGCTCTTTCGCTTCTTCTTCGTATTTACAATAAAGTGATTGGCCTGGAATATAAATTTTTTTAGCAACTAGTAAGTTCTTCCCAATTAAGACCACCCTGACCAAGTAATTAGGGTAACACAATAAAGTTGAAAAGTAACGAATGGTTTTCTTGCCAAATCAGATGGCGAGTGCATGTATAATCATTGTTTATTTCTTTCTGCGAATCTATTTGATTTCTTGCCGTACCTTAAACATAACATTTTCCCCTAAGTAAATTATATCAGAGTTAATTACTTGAATTCTGGTTCTGATTTTTATGTAACTATGAAATAGATCGTATACTTTTTGGAATTAAATATTACTTAATTATTTACACTAACACTCTTGGGCCCCGTTTGGTTCATGGGAAAGGAATCTTGGGGATGGAAAATCAATTGTTTTTCCATGTTTGGTAAGTCATGCATGGGAAATCGTTGCTTGGCACATGGGAAAGTAGGAGGGAAAGTGAAACATTCCTTCCTTCTTGGGTTTTACTTTCCCTTCCCATGAGAAAGTAAGGCTAGCATTAAATACACTTTTTTTCTGACTAATTTGTCCTTACTAACAATTCATAATTACAATTTTTATCTAACAACTATTGGTATTCTTTTTAGTTTTTTTAATAGGGATACAATTGGGAAACTAAACAAAATTTGTTTTCCATACCTACTCAAAACAAACATGGGAAAGGAAATAAAGTGATATTTCCGGGTTACTTTCCCGGCATTACCAAACATGGGAAAGGAATCACTATTTCCCATTCCTTGGGAAATAACATGGGAAATGATTTCCCATCAAATCCGTTCCGTGAACCAAACGAGGTTTCTGGCTCTTTCACAAAACTTCCTGAGGTTTTTGAAATTACACAAACACCCTTTGAGGTTGTAAATTGTTTTCACACAAAACACCTTTAGTTTCATTGATTTTTCATCCAAAGATTGATGATTTTATACAAAAAAAAATTCTCCAAATGAGAAAGTTAGCCTTTGAGGGCATGTTTACGTATCAGTAATGAGTATGGGAGGAAAGGGAATGATTTCCATTCCTGCCTTCCCCTGCGTTTACTTGCAATCATGAATGAAAAAATAAGTGGGCCCCACCTCAAAATCCGTAATCACATCCCCTCAAAACCAGGTATCAGATAACCTAGTGGGGGGTAGTCGATACGATTCCCATTCCTATTTTCCCTTATTAACTTCCAAAAATACCCTTACTACTTTATCATAATACCAAAACACCCCAAACCCGAAAAAAAAATAAAAACTCATGCCAAGAAGTTCAAAGACACCCCAACTTCTTTTTCAATGCATTCATATATATATATATATAGTCCTCTTCTATTGAGGGACGCCCTTTAGGGTACTCTACAATTTTTTTTCCAATGATACAAACCATCTATTTTTTAGGTGTTCATTCATATGAGGGTCTTCTTTACCATGCATGACTGATGAAGAAAAAAGAGATTACGTATTTAATATGATGGAGCATGGCTTACAGTGATTGTGACTGATGAGTAATGGGTGAATGATTTTTGTGGAGATGATATCTCTTTTTTTTGGTAGTATGAAGATTATGCAGGTTATTACTACTTGATTGTTTACTAGTTGCGTAGGTGAAAGATATATTTATTCGAGTTTATTTTTTCATTTGAAATTGGCTCTGGACAAAGGTGTTATTAACATTACCATTGAACTAGGCTGTTGCTATTCATCTGTTTCAGCATATTAATTCCTAATGTTTACACCGCCTTACTGGTTTGCTGCAGGATTAGTTTGGTCTCCTTAGCCAATTTGAGAATTATACATGTGCTGTCGTGAAAATGTGCAGGGCATTTTAGTAATCAAATTAATTTGGATTCTGATTCATGAAAATTAGTAAACAATAACAATGGGAATCAACCCCATTCCTTTGCTAATTCCATATGTTTAGTAAACAACTTAATGGGAATGATTCTTCCCATACCGATTCAATACTTACCCGATTTCTAAATTCTTTGATTCCTTACTTTCTCCATTACTCATACGTAAACATGCCCTGAGATTAAATTGCATAAAACAAAGAAAATGAGAGAAATTGTACCAATTACAAACCTTGAACCCAAAAACCAATTGTGAAGAAGACAAATGGTGGGCATTTCGGCTGTTCTTCTGGAAATAAATACAGCACTACAAAAAGAGAAGGCAACAATCACGTTTTTTGAGTCACCAAAATGATTTTGCTTGCTTTTGTCACCATTATTTATTCGTGTTTAACTCTCTCACATTTCAATTTATTTATTACATATGATTACATATGATCTAAAAGTAACTTTCTAATTTTCCACAATAATAAAATATTTAAAAAATGTATTTTACTTTCCAATACACGTTTAAGTTTCCAAAATTGCATTTAAAATACTTGCTTCCATAAAGTTTGGCACCAATATGAAGATCCTTGTAGTTCTGGAAGGCCTCTCTTGGACACTCTTGGAGACAAATGGAGTCATTCCTTAGTACAATTTTCTTGAAAAGTTGAGGTGGTGGTCTCAGTTCCTTCGTCATCCCATAACACAAAGTAATGAAGCATATGCTTAACAAATATGCTTAATGAAAAATCTTCCTCTTCCACTGCCACAAGCATTGGAGTGCTTGTGACTGTGGAAGAGGAGGCTTATTTTTTTCAACAATTAAATATCTATCACAACGAACCTACACGTTGGCATAAGTAAAATCCGGAATTCATGGTTCTCTCTCTCTAAAGTGGTGGAATCACTACTACAAAAAAGGCAAAAGACGACGGGAATTCACCGTCGTGAATTTGGTTTTCAAACCGTCGTAAAATCGATCGACGTCTTTTGCAAAGTAAAACCACAACGCGAAATCACCGTCGTTGTTATAACAAACAACGTCATTAACAACCAAACAACCGACGTCTGTATACTGAAAAATGAACCAAAAAATTGTCCTGGAGAAGAATAGACGACCTATTTTATACAACCTCCGTCGTGTAAAAGAATACAATACGTCTTTAAATAAATAAAATATGACGTTATTAAATCATACGACGTCCAATATATTTATATAACCGTCGTGCAATAGTAATGCCACTTCGTTTTTT